TGAGGGTCAGCAAAAGGGTATAAATTTTTGATAACGCCCCACGGATTTGAACCCCCCCCTGGTTAATTTTTAGGCTTGTAGATCGCTTTTTCATATTATTTTCAAATATTCAATATACCAAATTTAAGAAAGGCATGCTTGGAAGTTAACGGTTATTTCACCTTTAAGAAAAATGGGGAAATCACTTGGGGCTTTGAAAACCCAACCATCTTAAATCCAATAACCAGTTAACCCTTTATGACCAATTTTAGTGGGGCTTTTTGGATGGGGTAATTTTGTGATATTTCATGTTGGTCTTTTTTAAGATTTGGGGAACCCTAATGGAAAAATTTTTTTAAGGCTTCCTGGTTTTGTGTTTTAACCCCCTGGGGGGGCCCCCCAAATATTAAGGGCCATTTTTTTTTTCTGAAGTGTTGGGGAATGAAAGGGTTGGCCTCGGTTTTTTTGTTTTTGAAATCAAAAAAACCCTCTTTAACCCCAATTTGGTTTATGTCTTGGGGAAACCCTTTTTTCCCTTCAGTGGCCGGATGGTATTTTTTTATGTGTGTTGTTTTTCTCCCCAATGGGGGGCAGGGGAAGGGCACCTTAAACTTGAAAAGGTCTTTAAAAAACCAACATTTTTGTTTAACCTGGAAGGTGAAAGGGGAGGGAATTGGTAGAACCCCAAGTCCCCCGGCCCCCTCCTGGGTCAGAATCCTATTAAAAATTTTCTTTGTTGAAAAATTTGTGAAGGGGGGGTTTTTTTCCAAAGGTTGTTTTTTCAAAACCCCTTCCCCTTTCTAGTTTGGGAAACTTTTTAGGCTTTTCGAACACCAGGGCTTTGGGGGTTTTTTAAAAACCCAAATTTAAAACCTTATTTTGATTTTTTTTCTTTTTGTCTGACTGCACAGGGTCTGGGATTTTGGAAGGTGGGGGCAAGGGGGTTGGCTGCAAACTAAAAGGGGGCCCCCAACCCCCCTTTGGAATTTTGGAGATTTCATTTCTTCAAATGTTAATTTAATTCCCCCCATTAATTTAAAAAACAGAAAAGGGGAAACCCAACCTTTTTTTCTAAAAAAAAGGTTTCCCTTCAGTTTGGAAACCACAACCTTATTGGGGGAACCCATTATTAACTTTGAGGATTATATTTTTCAACCATTGTTTTGAAAAAGGGTTCCTTAATGGGGGGGATTTCTTCCTTGTTACGGATGTAAAATTGGGCATAAACCAAGTTTTGAAATTTCCATTTGGCATGGGGGGGGCCAATTTTTTTATTGGAAACCAGGGGGGCGGCTTTACCCCCAAAAGGGGGGTTTTCAGGGTTTTGTTAATAAGTGTGATGTGGCGCCCAAGGTGGAATGGTGGATTGGGTTTTTAAACCCTTTTTTTGGGGGGGCGCCTACAGGCCTCTTCGGTTCAATCTATTTTTTTAAGGTGAAAAATAATTTAATTAAATGGAAATTTTCCCTTTTTTTCCAGGTTGGGGTTCCCCATTTTAAAAGTCCATTTTAAACCTGGGGGATTTCTGCTGGCAAGTTTAAAAAACCTCATTTTTTTTAAAAAAGTTTTCCCCCCCCCCCTTTTTTTCTTTTAGGTGTTTTCCATTGGGGATAAAATTCCCCCCCTTTTTCCATTGGAATTATGGCTTAGGCTTTAAAAAAAGGGGTTTAATTTTTTTTTTTCCCAAAACAGAAAACCCTACACCATTAACACACAAACCCAACACACCACCACAAACAAACAACAACAAAAACAAAAAAACCACGAACAAACAAACAACAACACACAACAACAACAAACCCACACCACCCACAACCACGCACAACACCATAAACTACAACAACCACAAACACACCACACCACACCAAGGTTTTTTCCTTTTTCAGGCCTTTCTTTTTCTTTTCCCCTTTTCCCCCCAGGCCTTGGGATTTGAAATTAAAGGGTTAAAAAATGGGGGGGAAGGTTTTGGGACATTTTTTTTCTCCCTTTTATAAAAATTTTGGAGGCCCCCCCCTGACCCCCCCCCCACCCCCCATCCAAAAACTTCCTGGGGATGAAAAAGAGTGCAATGGATTGGAAAAGGGCAAGCCCACTAAAATGCCTTCCACCACAAACACCACACCAACACCAACACCACGAACAACAACGCAAGACACCCAAGCAACAAAACCAAAACACACACAAAACACCACAACAAACAAACACAACACACAAAACAACACAACACCACACA